GAGCGCACGCGCACATGAGAACCATCACATTTCAACAGAGCACCACTGATTGATCTGGCTGCCTCACCAGTGAGAGACTCAAGTGGGGCCGCTGTGGCAGTACAGTATTACATTAAGGGACTCACAACTTCATAGGAAACTGTATGTGCAAGAGTGAATTTATTTATTTCAAAAATGAAACATCCAAGCAAAACAGATGGAGCTAACAATATATACCAAATTTCAGTCGGTTGTTTGTAGCAAACTTCAACAATTCCATAAATTTAAGAAAACATATTTGGGAAAAAAGAAATGCAAACAAAAATAAATAATGGAAAGGAAATAAAAGTGGAATAAATCAATATCAATGAAGAAGTGTGTGTCCCTCTGACCACTGCATCAGGAGAGCTGTACTCAGGTTCCTCCACCTACCTGTCACTTAGACCAGCGACAGAGACTGATTAGAATTGAAAGAGTAATTTCAAACATGATTTTAAGAAGTCAGCACTCCAAGTTTTGTGAAGTTCCATGGACAAAAACAACAACTGGTTAAACAACTGTACATGAAAGGGAAAGAGTTGTGTTTTATTTTAACATTTTTAACTTTCTGAAGATAAGACTTTTCATATTTTATCCAATCTGCCTCCTTCAACTGTCTTCAGTCCAGAATTCATAGAAGGAATTCTTGACAGAGAAACCTTCCCCTAAGATCCTTATAAAGAGGGAACTGCTTACTAAATCCCAGAAGTCACTGCAGAGACTCAGGTAAAACTATCATTATACTCTGATTTTACCATCCACAAGCGGTTTTGCACCACAGGATCTAAAATAATGTACAAAACCTTACTCAGAAAATGGTGCAACTTACTTTCTTTTAACTTGGAATAATCAGTGGTTTGGAGGTTATAAAAATCTCCATAATAAGTAACAGGACAGGAAATTAAAATAAGTATTTCACATTCCAGATCTTAAACCAAAATTCTCCTAAGATTTCATAACACAGCTCACGTTTCATATTCTATTTCTAAAACTCTGACAAAAATTTTTCATTATAGAAGTTCCACAGTTCTTATCCCAAATGGTTCTAGATTTTCTAAGCTATCAGTATGAAAAAATGAGGAACAATAATAAGAATGTCCCATTGCAACAATCTTAAAAAGTGTGAGGAATATCAGAATATGTGAATACAAATACTTATGTCCACAGTTAAGAATTTTAAACAGTTATTCTTGTGTGATCCATGAATCCCACTGGCATGCTGCATAAAGGTACTTCCATAGTTCAGAGAGATACTAATCCTGAACATAAAAGTTTGAGTCCAATCAGGTATCATTTCATAAGAAATGTGTTAAGTTGATGAGGTTCTTAAATATGTTGCAACTTAGTTTCATTCTGGTGTTCTTACAGAAAAAGCTACTTTCTATCTGTGTCAACACCCCCTCCCCCCAAAAAAACAATACATACTCACTGCCATTGAGTCTATTCCAACTCATAGCAACCCACTTTGAGTTTCCCAGGCAGTAAATCTTTCTGGAAGCAGATTGCCCAGTCTTTCTTCCGTGGAGTGGCTGGTGGTTGGGAGTCAAATGCCTTAGGCACTATGCCACCAGAGTTCCTGGGCAACATCCCACTATTCTAATATTCCAGGATTTGAACACATTATAATTTAGCTCCATTTCACTTAAATTTCTCAATACATACTTTGATAGCTCATTATCATGCTAAAAAGTAACTTCAGTGATAAAATTCCATACATAAGAATAAGGCTGTTAAATTTTTAGCGGAAAGCTAAGCCTAGATAAATACAAGATAATTTCAAAATAAAACTATTTTGGTTATTTTGGTTCAATTGTAAGTAACAACAGATGATTTAATTTGGGGAACTATTTTTCAAAGTTTAACCAAAGCTACTCTAAATCAGAAAGCCTTAGTAGCTACTGTTATTCATATTTTAGTAGGGTACAAAGAAAATTAGGTAACCTAAAAAATTCCCCCAAACACAAAACCATTGCTGTTGGGTTGATTCCAACTCGTAGTGACCCTAGAAGACAGAGTGGAACTGCCCTATAGGGTTTCCAAGGTTGTAAATATTTATGGAAGCAGACTGCTACATCTTTCTCCCACAGAGCATCCGGTGGGTTTGTACCACCAACCTTCTGGTTAGCAGCCAAGCGCTTAAACGACCATGCCACTAGGGCTCATCTTTAAAGCTTAACCTCTCCTAAAAGCAAGCTCACAGAGGGAAAAGGGAGGAAGAGGAAAAGGGCAGTTCACTGCAGTTCTGGTGGACTCAACCCCTTTATGAAAGCACATACTCTCATTTGGTGTTACAATATCTCAATTCACTGTGAAGATTTGAAAACCAAATGGAAAAGGCCAACTAAAAATATTTAAATTAAAGAAAAAGTGAGATTGGATTAAATGACAAAATGAGTTTGAAAATAGAACAAGAAATAAAAGATATTAGGTGATTTTTATAAAAATATTAAAATTAAAAAGAAGTCATCTTGCACTTTGTGCTCACAAAGGGAAAGGAGGTTCCAACAAGCCCTGCAGAGTACAAAAGGAAGCAGGTGGTTTACTCAGGCATCAGGAGAAATAGGCCCCGAAGAACTACCCTCAGCTTCTTCTAAATCGTGTCCAGGAAGGAAAAGCAAAGCTCTGCAAAATGCTGAAGGTTTTAGAAGTATAACGATGCTTAGGAAAGATCACTGGTCTGGTGTTGCAGCAGCCCCAGTGTTGAGAGACACGCTAGGCTTCTAGGAGGAGAAAAATAGAAAGGGAGGAAGAAGTAGGAAGGGGAAGAAGGAAAGGGCGGAAAAGCACAGGTTATTAGTTAACAGCAAGTTCAACATAGCAAGATGCTCATAAACCCTTTATATGCTATCAAGGGAGCACTATATATAAAGTTCTGAAAGAAACAGAAATGGGAATTTTCAAAATGGCATTGAACTAGATGTCTGTGACGGCCAAATTAGAATGAAGTCACAACATGCTCCAAAAACATGCACCCTTCACTCCCCACTTCCTAACTCCCCCAAGGAAACATGCATATTTGAGTAAAGCAATTTAGTCCAGAGGTCAACTCAAAACCCAAAGACCTATCAGTTGCATAAACCATACTCTGCCCAAGGGTAGAGAGGTATGCAAGAGTAGGAAGAACTGCTCTCAAAATGTCACTGGGCAGTTCATAAACAGCTGGGTTCTTTCTAAGTCTCCAGGGAACTAAAATCCTGAAATCATCCCCATGTTTTTCCTGCCTATTTTTTTTTTTTATTTTCATTATAAAGATCTGGTAGTAGTAGGTAACAACTGCTAACAGAGTTTGAGTCTCATCACTCTTCTGATCAGACTTGATTATCTTGCCGGAGAAGAAACCTACTCTAGTTTTATAGTTCTTTCCTTCCTGGATGAAAAATGGCATCCACTTTTACAACTGGCTAATCAAATCAATCCCCACAGCCTTTTTTTCTCCTGGCACTGCCTCTTGGTTAAAGAACGCTGAAATTACTCATTAAGAAAGTTCATGTTTAAGTTTCTTCTCCTTTAATCACGGGAATATTTGTATAACTATTTTCTTAAAGCAAAACTGCATAGCCAACGACTTTCAAAAAGCAGGCACAGAAACGGTCAATACCACATAAGATTATTAAAGAAATACCAAAATTTCAGTTTACAAAACTGGAGATAAGGTGGCATATCTGGTAGTTTTCAGCGTGTAAAGAAGAGTGTTCTTAATTCATGAGTTGCTAATCAGGATGTTAATGTCACTAGGCAAAACTAATGTTCACAACAAATAGGACATGTTGTGAATAAATGCGAGGTACAAAGAGATAATATAATAGCATTTCCTAAGGTCACAGAATAAAGAGTCTATCCTAGAGTAACTGCTATTGCTAACAGAAGGCTTTTTGGAAGACTTAAGGACCAAGAAATCCTATGGTGGCTTAAGGCTGAGATATATGTATGAGAACCACAGAAATGGTACATGTCTCCTGCTTACACTGTTGTGATGTGAATCAAATGTCATGTCCCAGTTAAGAACACACTCTACAGAGAATAATATGCTTGATCATGAGAAGACAAGTTAGTTCTCTGGGTTAACAGTGTCAGCCTGATCACAACTGCAAATTAAGTGCAGTTATTTATAAAATATCACATCATAGTATATGACTCACATAGGCTACCCAAGAAAAGATTTGCATAGTACATGCCTACGGATTCTTGTCACTGCTTCAGGAAGTGTGCTCACTAAAGGATGCTGGGGTGGTGTCTGTTATGAAGTGGGAACCCACAGGAACCTCAGCACCCTGGATGGTATAAATGGTTTAACACCCTCAGCTCATAACAGAAAGGTTGGAGGTTCCAACCAGAGAAGCCTTGGAAGAAAGGCCTGGTGATCTACTTTAAAAAAAATCAAATCGTTGAAACCCCTATGGAACACAATTCTCCCCTGACACTTCAGAGGGTGGCCCTGTGTCAGAGTCAACTAGATGGCAACAGATTTTTTTAAGTAATGGGCTAGGAGTCAAAGTTGGAGACAAATTTCAAAAGCAATAGTTATGAGAAAGATACAGAAAAACAGACTGCAGGCAAAAGACAACTAAAAGAGCTAATAATTTGTAACTCACAGGTTTCCTACCATTAAGCCTCATAAAGCAAACTAAGGACAGTGTACACTGAGGGAAGAGCCCTGCCTTAAAGAGCCACAGTGGGCAAAGGTCTCCACTACAACACATCTCTGTGATGATTAGTCTACATTTCTAACAGCAGTTGATATCGCTCTATTGTGGTGAAACTGCAAAAAATATTCCAGTAAAATCAAAGGCAACTCATTCTTCTCTTTTCTTTGTTGGGAGATCTTATGTGGCAGAAGCCCTTGGTTTTAAGGAATTCAACGGGGAAAAAAAAAAAAACAACAAAGTAATTCATATGCTTCCACTAAGAATCCTCCTCAAAAGAGTTTATCAAAGTGTTCACTAGACTGTTTCACCCACACATTTGGGGAATCCTAGACTTACCTGTAGTGTCATTCCTTTCTATTTCATGATCACCATTGGCTAGCACTGCGGGTTTAGAAGATGGAGTACCTGCAACAACCACAGAAAATAATTACCCCTTTGTGACTGACAGAAACATTAAAAACAGCTCCAACTACCATCTAATTAGTAGAATTTTTGTCCCTATTCATAGTATTAACTTAAAGCAAAAAATAAATAAATCTGTGTAAAATGCAAAATCTAGAAACACAGGACCGAACAGAGGCACTAAGTCACACAGTACCCAAGCTCTGTCAAAGTACCACTACTATAGCAAAGCCCTTCCTGATAAGCCAGGCTGTTTTTTCTATTCTATAAAATGTCAGGCATTACTGAGGAAGGTTGAAATAAAAGACTGAAGGAATCCCTCACTGAAAGCTGCCTTTATAAATTAACAGGCGGATTAAAGTAGGCATTCATCTTAAGTGACTAACTCGCTGTCTTTCCCCTCCTTTATCACTGTCTGAGCAAATAGTATGTAGTTGTTGTTGTTATGTGCCATCAAGTTGGACCCGACTCATAGCGACCCCTCCTTGGGTTTCTGAGGCAGTATCACTATGGAAGTGATACTTCCAAAGTAGATCGCCCCATCTTTCTTCCGAGGAGTGGCTGGTGGATTTGAACCGCCAGCCTTCTGGTTAGCAGTCAAGTGCCTTAAGCACTATGCTACCAGAGCTCCTGAGCAAATAGTATAGCCAACCTTTATTTCCAACGTTGAGCTCTTTAGATTGCAACTTTAAGGACACTGTTAAAGTATAACTTAAATTCCTTAAAGTATAACTCTTTCCCCTACCAGTTGTAGTAAAGAGCCACAGCCTGGTACAAGGCGACCCTGGGAAAGGAGACACCGAGCCCTGGGACAACCAAGATAAGGAGAAAACAGAGATATTCCCGGAGAGGCCAGGAGATGCCTACTCCCATACCACCTTCCTTGCAGAATTAATCTCCCTAGACAGGTGTGAGGCGCCTGAAGGACGAGATGGTTCCTTTATCACTGATCAGAAGAAAGGCCAAGAGACTACAAGACAACTACAACTCATCCCATCCTGTAATAGAAAGGAAAACACTACTAGCATTCCTAAGACCTATCCTCCTCTCAGCCTGATTCCCTTTAAAAGCTCTAACCGTTCCCCAGCTCATGGAGACAGACATTTTGGAGAAGCGATTCTCACTGTCTCCTTGGGTATTGACACTCAATAAACTTCTTGCTTTCTCTCTTCAACCTGCTGTGATTACTGATTGGCTCTTACCTCTTAGGGGGTAAGGACTTTGTTTCCCTACAACAACATTACCATGAATTCAATAAAATCATCAATGAAGCACTCTAGCTTTAGTGTCTGTGATTCAAATCAAATGACACAAGGATACAGGACCTTTGAAAACAGCTCTCACATAGGAGGAAGTCCAGGGTACCACCACTGCTCCTGGATTCAAGGACTACATAGGGGTCAAGCAGCGGTACTTCTAGAAGTAAAAGGCTGTTTCTTCTTCTCCCTCTTTTAATTTTAGCCATTCTAACAGGGTCTAGTCATTCTCATTCTCTCATGACTGAAGATGTTATGCAATGTTTCATGTGCTTATCTACCATGCCTATCTCTTCTTTGGTGAGCAGTGCAGTAAATATATATATATTTTTAATATTATTTTTTAATTGGGTTGTTTGTTTTCCTAATATTAAGTTTATATATATATATAGAGAGAGAGAGAGAGGAGAGGTTTCTATGAGTTGGATCCGACTCAATGACAGTGAGTTTGGTTTCATATATGTATAAAATATATACATATATATTCTGAATACCAGTACTTTACCAGATAAATTTTGTAAATATTTTCTCCCAGACTGTAACTTAGCTTTTCATTTTCTTTAACTGTCTCATTTGAAGAACAGAGGTTTTAACTTTCAATGAAATCTTATTTATCATTTTTTTCTTTCATGGATTATGCTTTTGGTGCATAATCTTTAACACAAAGTCACAGGATTTTCTCCTATGTTTCCTCTAGTTTTATAGTTTTCATATTGAGATCTATGATACATTTAGAGTTAAACATTATATATGAGTCTAGGTTCATATTTTGCTGGTACATGTAGTTGTTTCAATGTAATTTTTTGAAAGGCCTGTTCATATTCCATTAAACTTTGTACCTTTGTTGAAAATTAATTGATCATAACACGTGGGTCTATTTATGGACTCTTTATTCTGTTTCACTGATTTAGAGGTCTACCCATTTGACCAATACTACACTGTCTTCAACACTGTATTTGTATAGTAAGTCTTACAGTCAAGCAGTAACATAAGTCCTTTAATTTGGATCTTTTTCAAAACGGTTTTGGTTATTCTAGTTCCTGTGCATTTCCAAATTTTAGAATCAGTTGTTGAGTTATACAAAAAATCCTAATGAGAATCTTGTTTGTGATTGCAATTTGGGGATGTAGAACCATTTTCGAAAGTCTCTGATTATAGCCAACATTTTAGCAACATGCCTAGCTCAACAGTAAGCCTGCCAAACTAAGATGTTTATTAATAGCACTGTTTAAAAATAACAAATAACCACCAATAAATTCACTATACTGTGAACTAGTACAGAGCGATTAGAAGTAATGAAGTAACTCTTCATGGACAAATCTGAGAAGATGCCAGGTCATACTAAGCAAGTAAATAAATAGATAATGTACCAGAAATGATGAGAAAAACGAAAGGAAATGCAATCCCACTGACAGAGATACCACAGACCAAAACTAGCACAGGAAAGCAGGACTCTAAAGTAATCTTAGAGGCAGCACGGGTGTTGGGTACTCACTAGAAACTGACAAGTGAGTCCCAGTTCCCTCCCTCTCCTACCCCTATAGCCTCAGCCTCGTGCCAACCCCTAGATGGGAGACAGGAAAGACTGGATGCTGTGCCACAGGAGGAAGCAGACTCCTCAGATGACAGGCGATACCTAGAGGAGCAGGGAGTCCTCAGTATGGCCAAATATTTTAAGATAGCTGCTACCACAAAAGAAACATCATATTCAAAAAGAGTATCAAGGGAAACAATGCTGACAGAGCAAACAGATTTTTAAAAAATACATTTCCCTCAGAAAGATAAGAAACATATTACACATCCATGAAACAAAAGCAAGTCCTAAAAAAGTGAATTACCTAGTGACTGAGTAACAAATCCTTTTGTTAGATGGTTTCCAATTCTTGGCTTTTATTAAAATTGAAAGAAGTCATAATGGAATTACGAATCTGGTAGGTCAGTAGTAATAATTTTTGATAATGCTGCACTACAGAGGACCCTTGACCAGCATAGATTTGAACTGTGTGGGTCTACTTATATACAGATTTTTTTTCAACATATGAATCTTGGAGAAATTCAAGAGCTAATAGACACCACACCAGAGGAATTAATAGAAGACAACTTGATGGAGATTAAGTGCTTCCAAATCAGTGGCACATGAGGAAGAAGAAGTAGAAGAAGCAGTGCCAGGAAACAAACTGACATTAAACAATCTATCAGAGGGGTTCCAATGATTCAAGATTGCTTTGGACTTACTTTACAACATAGATCCTTCTATGATATGGACACTGAAACTAAAGCAAACAGTGGAAGTGGTACCATATAGAAATATTTTTAGAAAAATGAAAAGCAACAAAGTCAGGCACAATTTATGATATATTTCTGTAAAGTTACATGGAATGTACCTGCCTCTCCTGCCTTCCCTCCCACCTCCTCCACCTCTGCCACCCCTGAAACAGCACAACCAATCCCTCCTCCTCCTCCTCCTTGGCCTATTCAAAGTGAAGACAAAGATGAAGACCTTTATGATGGCCCACTTCTACTTAATTAATAGTAAATATAATCATCATGCTGTACAGTTAATAAGCTTATCTGTTGTATATGTGTGTGAGTGTCTTTGTGTGAAAATCTAGTAAATGGACAACAAGAACTGTGTTAATCGAGTGTTCATGTTATCGGTAAGGCTTCCAGTCAACAGTAAGCTATTAGCAGTTAAATTTTTGGGGAGTCAAGACTTATCACTAGAATTCATAGAACACTTCAACACCTCAATAACAAAAAGACAAACAATCCAATTAAAAAATGGGCAGAAGACATGAATAGACACTTCACCAAGGAGGATATTCAAG